CCAGCACTGCGGGGAAGGGCGACACGGAACTGTCGAGGCAGCTCCAGGGAATGACCACGGCCGCGGCAGCGAGCGCTGGCTTTGCCCGGCGCGGCTGGTTGGGGAGGCCCGGGGGTAGCACGGAGCCCTGCGCCCTCCCTCACACGCCCACACTCTGAAGAAACATGCTGAGTGTCACACTTTGGAAGACACAAAAGCTCACAGCAGCACCAATGACCCTTTCAGCCTTATCCCTCCACCTATGTCAGCCACTCGCGGGCGGCCAGCACTGAGCTACCAGCCCGCAGAGCCAGCGCCCTCGGGGGGGCACCCCTCCCGCCGCTGCGGGAGCAGAAAGGGAGCGTGCGCAGCGTTCTGAATTTGTAGGGGACATGGCGATGCGCATGTTCCTCCTCAGACGCTATCAGAAAGCCTGGGACAAGTTTCCAGTGAAAGGGGGACGCGGGACCAGAGGAGCTGGTGAGGACGCGCTGCCGCCAGCCTCGGACCCGGCACAGGACAGACGCACTTAACGCGCAGGTTGTCAGCGTCAACGGGGACGTGTTAACTGGGCACGTCAGGCAGCTCGGCGGTTGGATTCCTAGGACGCTGAGCCCTGGTCGTGTTCACGCTCCGAGGCCCCGGGACTCTGCGCAGCAGCCTGCACGGGGCTCGAAAGAAGGTTCCGAACGGCCCGCGTGCTCCGGCCGCCCACGCGTGGCCACTTGCACTGCAGCAGCAGAGACAAACCGCGCTGCACACGGGTTCAAACGGGAGTGAAACAGCCGGGCCCTGTGAGGACGGACGAGCCGGCAGAGCCACAGCGCAGAAGAGGGCTGGGCCGGGGCGGGAGGCGGGCTGCCTTTCTAATAACCTTGCAGAATTAGCGGCCTCTAAGCAAAAGGCAGGCACAAGGCTCTGATGAACTCTTTGATGCAAATAAACTAGGAAAAAATGAGAATTCCTGGAAAAAGGAAGCTCTCTCAGACACTTTAATTTACACCTCGAATTGCTTCCGACTTCAGTCTGCACGGACCTGGTTCCGGGCCTAACCCCCCGCCACGCACATGCACACGCACACGCACACACGCACACGAGCGGGGAGTCCCCTCGGCCTCGCTGGGACGCGGGACGCAGAAAGCGATTCGCCTGCCTCACCTCGAGCAGAGCTGCGGCGGGGTCGCCCTGCAGACTCTTGCCCAGCTTGTCCACCTCGTCCAACAGAAACACCGGGTTGTTCACCCCGACCGTCTTCAGGCCGTTGATGATGCGGCCGGGCATGCTGCCCACGTAGGTGCGCCTGCGGGAAGCAAGCGAATGGGTCCCGGGCGGCCGGAGGCAGGAGCAGGGCCACCGGAGCCCAGGGACCAGCACGGGAGGCAGCCAAGCCCTGAGAGGCCCACGGCATCCGAGTCACCGTGTCCCTTCTTCTCCAAGTCTGGTGCGAGCATCCACGGGACTGGAGCCACGTACCTCATGCTGGCCACTTAGTGACACTGAAAACATTACACTTAAGTCGCACAGTTACAATTCTTACTCCTCCCGATTCCAAGATGCCCCAACCCTCTGACTTTAGTCCCCAGGCCGCACCCTCCGGCACCCAACCCCACCCCACCCCACCCCCAGCACGACATCTGCACAGGGAGACGCTGGTACAGCCTCCTCGCCTTCATGAGGAAGTCAGAATCGGCGGGAAGGGCCACTCAAAATGCAGCCCCCTGGCCCCCCACAAAGAAAAACTCCAAACTCCTTCATTTCAGAGGCAGTCAGCTGTCACTACTGGTGGTCAGAGGCCTGGGGTCAAGAGCATCACACGGAAACCCACCCATCCGGGCACTGACTGGACTGTCCACCCTGCACGCTCCCTTGCACAGCCCAGCCCAGTGCTGCTTTGGGATGTGCTATGACGTCACAGGCAGCTCTGCCACGTCAGAATGAGGGTCGCCTGTGTGACCGTTTTCGGGAAAGCCAGCGAACGTCACTGCGCAGAAACGCACCCCGTTTCATCGCGGCCTCCTGTCTAGTCAGGTCACTACCGCTCGCCCAGTCTACGATCTAAATGGAACCAAGCCTTGCCTTTTCCCCCCCATCTCCCACCTCGCTATCGCTATCGCTGAACTCTTCGGTTATTTACAGTCAATTTCTAACATTAGCAGCTCCCTTCACACCCCCAGGCTGTGGCGCAGGCTGGAGCCCAGGCCCGGGGAGCGAGGAGGGGCCAGCAGGCGGAGGGGAGCACAGAGCCGCTCTGTGTCCTCGGCTATTTTAAACTGCAGAACAGGGGCCTACTCAGCGGCAGGGAAAACAGACCCGCGAGCCCCGCCTGGGAGCACATGACCAGCACTGGAATGCCAAACCCAGGGCGTCTCCCAAGTGTACAGCTGTCCCGTGGGGGGCTCCTCCCACCCACGCCACCCAGGTCGCGCTGATCCTGCCTCTCCTCTGTGTCCCCCCCCCACCCCCCGCCCAGCACTCTGACCCAGGCGGGACTGGGATCCCCGCCTCTCCTCTCCCCAGCAGCCCACCCGCCCTCCGCCCGCTCCCCACAGGTTTTCAAGTGACCTCCTCTCCAGACTGCGATGACCTCAGAGCCGTGGGCAGTGAGTCCTCGGGGGCACAGGGGCCGGTGGCCCTGGTGGTGAATGGACCACACGCCTGGTTGGTGATGGCGAGGGAGGGCGTGCCCACGAGGGGCCTGCGAACCTGGCTTAGTGCTCACAGACCGATTCCGACAACACCATGCGCCTCTTCCCCGCAGGGATCACTGCCTCTATCCAGGCCGCAGAGCTCAGTTCCCGTGTTTCAGGCAAAAACACAACCTTCATTTACAAAACAAGTTCTTCTTCCTTCAGGTTCCGTGTTCTTATGACCGTCACACAGGAAGTGCCCTCATGCGGCACAGCGCGCAGGTGCTACCTGTCAGCGCCAGGAGCTTACAGAGGAGGGTGAGCCCCCCATGTCCAGGAGGCGTGCTGAGAACTAGGCCCACATGCCGCCCACCACGGCATCAGGAAAACACCCTTCCCCACAGTCTGCCCACGAGTCATCACGCGAGAAACAGGGATTATGGGGGCACAGTGTTACAAACAGATTGGGTTTTATGAAAAGCACACGGACACGTGCAGGACCTAACCCCGGCCCCCGAGCAGTCAGAGGTGAAAGTAGGGAACAAAAAGCTGTTCGATGGGGCGCTGCCCGGTGTGCCCGGGGCTTCCCGAGGGGCCGCTTTTCCAAAGCCTCAACTGAGCTGGGCAATTTCCAGCCCGGAAAAGAAACGGAACGCGTTACCCTGCGTGTTCACCTCCCCGTGACTTTAATGTCACGTGACAACCCCACAGTCACTCTCCAAGTCCCATCCAAGGCCGACGCACACGGGGCCACGGATGACAGAGGAAACAGAACCCCAAGCGAGCGCGCGAACCGTGGCAGGTGGGCAGGTGGGGAGAGCCTCCGTCGCTCCCTCGCTCCCGGCCCTGGGCCCAGGAGCCAGCTTCTTACCGAGCCAACGGCAGCCTCTAGTGGCGCTGCGAGGACAGGACAGTCCAGGGGACAAGCGTGTGCCTGCCCCACTGCATCTACTAAAGTCTTGGGTGACTCTCCTTTCATGCAGAAGAGTTGCAAACAAGCAAGAAAAAGAATAAAAGGACCACTTTCATGCAAGTTCCTGAAGTTTCCTGGCCCAGCCGAAGCCCAGGGGACCTTGGAAACAGGCAAATGGAAAAGGAGATGATGGAAAAGCAGCATATTCCCCTCCCCCCGCAACCCAAGTCCCACCCACACTCAGGCCGTCGCTGTGCCCTGAAAGCCGCCGGGGACAATGGCGTCCTTAACCACCCGCCCGGGCTGGTCTGAGGACAGGAGCTTCCCCCTCCGCTCCATGCCTTTTGCCGGGACGCAGGGCAGCTGCAGTTTAGCTGCAGTCAGGCTCCTGCGCAGGCCCCACCGCAGCCTGAACACGTCGCACACGCACTGACGGCAGCCAGCCTGCAGCCGCCACGGCATGGACCCCACACGAACGCCTCCCGGTCTGAGCGACAGAGAACACAGACAGAACGTGACCGTGACCGTAGCACCGTCTGACCCCACGGTCACACCGACCAGACTCGGGTCTTAGAGTTCCAGGCCCTTTTATAGAAAAAGTGTCAAAAACGCAAGGATAAGCCTCAGTGACCCTAACCTTCCTGCTTATACCACTTACCCTGCCGTAAGCCAGCCTTCTCTTTCGGAAATGCATCTTTACTTTTGAACGTCTTGTAGATGTCCCCTCTCTGCCCCCACAGAGCCCCCCGTAGAACAGCCTCCTTAAAAGCAGTTTAAGCTGCCACCCTGACACACGGGTCTCTCAGGCCCCTCCCGCCGGGCCAAGCTGGACTCCAGGGTGTGGTCCTTATTTACGAAACGCCCCTGGGCCAAAGCGACACCAAGGCATCAGGCTGCCCAGTCACCCCTGGCCACCACTAGTCATGCCACGGCGACCCCAGGGCGGAGGTGCCCACTCCGGCGAGGCTCCACGTCCTCCCCCTCATCCCAAACAGCCCTTTCGGAGAGAGAGGGGCCCTGCGCTGTGCTTGGGGGGGTCTCGCCAACCAAGAGGAGGGAGAGGAACAGGCGGGCGAGGGGAGCACCCACCTGTGTCCCCGGATGTCGGACTGGTCGCACACTCCTCCCAGCGCGATCCGGTGGAACTCGCGGCCCAGCGTCTTGGCCACGGACCTCCCCACACTCGTCTTGCCGACCCCGGGGGGGCCCACGAAGCACAGGATGGGGCCCTTGAGGTTGTTCTTGAGCTGCCGCACGGCCAGGTACTCCAGCACCCGCTTCTTCAGCTTCTCCATGGCGTAGTGGTCGTTGTCCAGGAGGACGCGGGCCGCGCGGATGTCCAGCCGGTCTGTCGGGTCACCCCCAGAGAGCGTCTGGGCACCTGGGACTCGTCAGTGGGAACCCCTCCCCAGGCCGGCAGGAGCCCGAATAGCTTAGAGGTGACCAGAGCACGCCTGCCTCCTCCTATGCGAGTCTCTGGGGAGCCGGGACTGGGCTTTCTTTTGCTTAAGAAGATCCAGTTTCTACAGGAGCAGTGGGCCCTGCAGCGGCGGGAGCTGAGGGCAGCCCCCCCCCCACCCCCGACCGAGATCTCACCCACCACGGAACCCCCTTCTCTCAATCAGGCCCAGGGACTCTCGGGGAGCCCGAGACCGCGGTGACACGGGCTCAGTCTGCGGCTGACCTACATCGGCGAAGGTGAGAGCAGGACGCTCGGCGGGGGCGCTATGGAGGGTGCGTGACTGCGCCGCAGGCACACGGCGGGCTGGGCGGGGGGCTCACCGGTTGTGCTCTTGTTCCACGGCAGCTCCACCATGAGCTCTAAGTAGTTTCTGGTCAGAGCGTATTCCGGCATCGACTGAGGCATTTTTTTGAGTCTGTGGAGAAAGAATACATAGCAAACGTGTTCAAGAATAAAGAATTCCATTAACACAGAAAAACCAAGCTGACCTCCATGGCTTGGTCAGACATATCATACATACAGGGTGTCCCAAAAGATGTACACACACACTTTGAATAATTATAAAGGCAGTGTTTATTAAAATACATTTCAGTTTTTGCCCGAGCTGGTCTGGCTCAGTGGATAGAGCATCAGCCTGCGGACTGAAGGGTCCCAGGTTCAATTCCAGTCAAGGGCACAGGCCTGGGTTGCGGGCTTGATCCCCAGAAGGGGACCTGCAGGAGGCAGCCAATCAATGATTCTCTCTCATCATGGATGTTTCTATCTCTCTTTCCCTCTCCCTTCCTCTCTGACATCAATAAAGATGTATCTTTTTAAAAAAATACATTTCAGTTTCAAAACTGAGCTATCAGCTGTGACAGTGTATATACATTTTGGGGGGGGAACACCCTGTATTTGTTAAATAAATCTGAAAAAGTGTTTTTAAAATCTGGCTAATGACACATTTCTTTTGCTCTGAAGGAACGTTACAAAACAAAATTAAAGCAACACCCGCACGCTGGGGGGAGGGGTGGGGACCCGGCGTCTGACTCTGCCCTGGAAATGTGGCCTGGTCAGCGTAAGGACCCCCCAGAGACTCAGGTGGCACCACCAGGTTCCTCATCAGGGTGAGATCTAAGCGCCTCACCGTTGTTACACGGTAATTATGTATTTTATTTTTTTTTTTTACTAGAGGTCCAGTGCACAGGATTCATGGGGGTGGGCGTAGCCTGCAGGGATTGGCCCTCTGGGAGCTCACTGACCACCAGGGGCAGCTCCTGCATTGAGTGTCTGCCCCCTGGTGGTCAGTGTGCCTCACAGGACTGGTCGACCGGTCGTTCTGGTCATTCTACCGTTCGGTCACTGGGCTTTTATTATAGAGGATTATCATTTTTTAAAATATATTTTTTATTGATTTCAGAGAGGAAGGGAGAGGGAGAGAGAGAAACATCAATGATGAGAGAGAATCATGGATCAGCTGCCTCCTGCACGCCCCCCACTGGGGATGGAGCCCACAACCTGGGCATGTGCCCTTGACCAGAATTGAACCTGGGACCCTTCAGTCCGCAGGCCAACGCTCTATCCACTGAGCCACACCAGCCAGGGCTAATTATGTGTTTTTATTTTACATTAGAGTTGAAGTCAGCTCAGAATCGAAGCCAACACCAGATACTTAATAAAAAACGCGGCTCCCAGAACATAAGCAGCGCGCGTTCTGTCCACATGGACGGCCCACACCTATTAGCAGGTGCCAGAGCCCCAGGAGGCGCCCCTCAGCGCATCCACTAACGTTCTTCCCTGTGAACCTCGGAAAGGCAGGTCTTTCTGCGGCTCATTACGACTCACTAACACGGTAAAGCAGTTCTAACGTTACAGGAATGCAAACCAACAGGGGGTTTTCTACTGACGAGATGACCCAGCAAAGGTGCTCAGCCCGCACACCGCCGGGCCTCCCTGCACCCCCTGCACAGGGAGGGTGGCAGGCCCTGCCTCGCGCGTGTGACCGACAGAAACAGTGACGTGTGACGCGCACAATGGGAAGTGGACAAACAGTCTGAACAAAGGCTGGTCCGCTCCTGACGACAGGGCACGGGCAGGTGCCGTGGGGAGCACGCCGGAGTGCGTATGCGGGGAGGGGCTGTGTCGCTCACGCAGCGTTCACGGAGCCGGGGACCCGGGGGTACCGAGACTCTCGGGGTCAGGGTCCGGATGGGGTGGAGAGAGACCCTGAGAGCGGGGTGCCAGGAAAGCTGGAGCCGGCAGTGCCGACCTGGGGGGGGGGGCAGTGGTCTGGGGCCCCGTGAAGGGAAGAGGAGGACAGCGCACACGCAGCGAGCGGCTGGGCGTCCAGCTGGGGATGCTGCACGGGCCCCCCTTGTGAACATCAGCGAGCAGGACGGGGCCAGCGCGCGGGCAGGCGTGGCGCTCACCTCTTGACCTCCTTGAGGCAGACGCGGCGGGCCGGCTCGGGCATGCTGGACGTGCGCACCTTCCGCTCCAGCAGGACCACGTCGTCGCTGTCCTCCTCCTCCTCCTCCTCCTCCTCCAGGGCGCCGGGGACGTGCGTGATCCTCCGCATGGGGCGGATGGCGATCACCTGCGGCCGAGGGCGGGCGAGGGAGCGGGCGTCAGCACCAGGGCTCCTCTCTCCCTCCTGCTGCTCCCCCAGGCCCCCCAGGGGGAGGCCTCACTCCCACCCTTCCCTCCCTCCTGCCCACACACCACCATAAACCAGCTGCTCGAGGCCGCCTGCAGCCGGGCCCACCCTCCATGGAGTGTCACGTGTGATAGTGAAGGGATCACAAATCGGTGCGGGGGGAGGAGTGAGGTGAGGGGGTCAGTGGGGAAAAGAAGGGTCCATCTGCGATACTTTCAACAATAAAGATGAATTTTTAAAAAGAGAGAAAATGGTGGTGTTGAGTCAAGTAAAACGCTCTCTGGGGAAAGCGCAGCTGCTGTCTTCCCACACGGAGGGCGAGGACGCAAGGCTGAGAAGACGGAAGGTGAAGTCTGACTAAATGCAAATCGAAACATCAATCAGTTGGAAACAAAAAGTCAGCCAAGCCCTGGCCCTGCATCCGGAAGAGTCCTCGTCTGTTCTTAACATCACGCCCCGTAAAAGAAGTTCAACTCATAGCAGGCATTCGCTAATTTTCAAAGTACAGAAAACACAATGTTTGGCAAAAAAGAAAATGGCTTGGTAAATCCCCCCCTTTTTTTATGTGTTTTTATTGAGTTTTAAAGAGAGAGTAATGGAGAGGGAGAGAGATAGAAACATCAATGACGAGAGAGAATCATGGACCGGCTGCCTCCTGCACGCCCCACCCTGGGGATGAAGCCCACAATCCGGGCCTGTGCCCTGATGGGGAATCGAACCGTGACCTCTTGGTTCCTGGGTCGATGCTCAGACACTGAGCCCCGCCAGCCGGGCGACCCCATGTTTTTCTTAAACCACCCCTCCCCCCACACGGAACCTCCGGGCCCAGGAAGACAGGGCCCCCGAAGACACGGGCTCGGAGGACACTGACTCGCTTCTCGTCGTCCTGCTTGTGCTTCCTGGTTTTCTGGAGCAGCTTCAGGCCTTCGATCTGCCTGACGAGCAGCGGTATGGTCGCCTTGAACCGATCCTCCAGGCTCACGGCGTCCAGGATCTAAAGGAGCGAGAGCGAGCCCGTTACTAGAAACACGCGCTCCACGGCCAGGCAGGCAGAGGCGCAGCGTCAACCGTCAGACACCTCCTTCCAGGGGTCACCACTCCCTGCGGCCAACACAACCACAGTAACTGCATTAACTCGGTGAGGCCGTCTGGCACGGACACCAGAACCCTAAACAAGACCAAAGAGCATCTCGAGTTTCCATTTAAAAATGAAGCCACGTGTACTGTCCCAAGAGCAAGAACAGAACACACACTGTATGGCCACTCCTTCTGAGAATTATCCTCCGAAAGCCTAGAATGTGCCTACACATTCGGTCTAAACAAATTCGAGGCTCAGAACATTGAAGTTTTACACACACGAGAGACTAGAAGCACCTTCCGCCACCGTCCCCTGCCGGTGTGGCGGCAACGGACACGTCAGGGTAACGGGCACCCTGCTCGCGCCCGAAGCAGGTGCCGGTGCTCCTGCCGCCGCCCGCTCCTGCCGGGGACTGGATCCCTGCTTACACCCAGTCTGTCTGCGTCGGCTGCACTTCCTGTTACAACAGTTGGATTTAAGTATTAAATAAACTGATAAAGGAAGGAGGGTGATTTCAATAAAAACTAGTTTAGCCGGACCCGTGTGGCTCAGCTTGAGCACTGACCTAGGAACTGAGAGGTCACTGGTTGGACTCCCGGTCAGGGCACATGCCCAGGGTGTGGGCTCAGTCCCCAGTGGGGGAAGACTCAACAAAGCAGGCTGCTAAAAAATACTGTAAAAGTAAGTTTGCAAGAGAACTTTCACGATTTGGGGAAAAACATGCACATCTAAGATCTTGAACTTGATGATTTTCTTTAAAACTCATTTCTCTCTAAAGAAACAGGAATGGAAAATTATAGGTAACGCATCACGGTGTGTTTTACTTAAGAAACACCAAGAATCCCAAGCAGCCCACACAGGGAAAGGGCACGGCTCCACGCGTTTAACAACGGTGGACGGAGTATATTTATATATTGAAGTTGGATTAAATATCTGTGTTATTGTTCTCTGCTTTAACTTTCTCCATAAACTGACGAGTGCCGGTGCTGGTGACGCGAGTAAAAGCCGTCACTTTTAGGGTCCCTTTCGCTCCTCCCGTGAGCCGCCAGCAGCCTCACTGAAGGCTCGCGTGGCCTCGCTCTCTAGGCCCAGCGGAAACGTGACCAAGGGCCTCGCACCCGTGGGCCCCCGTACCTGCAGCTTCTCCTTGTTGCTCGTGCGGATGATGGACGTCAGGATGTCGGGGAGGGCTTCCCGGGGGAGGCTGTCGAGGAGGCGCCTCAGCTTCGCCACCGCGGGGACGGACATGTCCAGCATCTCCACCAGCTGCAAGGGGTGAGGGGAAGGGGCCGTTACTGCCGCGCGGGCCTCAGAGGAACACGTCAAACAGAAGAAAAAGCAAAAAGGGCTCCAACGTGGATAATACTAATGTATACAAATCTGTGGTTTTATTTAGAGAAAAATTAAAATTTATTGGAAAGTTGCAATGGTACAATGAACTATATATTCTTCACCAATTATTAACCTCTTGCCCGTTTGCTTTCTCTCTCACACACACACACACACACACACACCCCATCACTGAGGAAGCTGCAGGCGTCGCGGCCCCTGCCCTGAAGCACAGGGCACCCTCTTACGTCACCCAGCAGGAGGCCCGGTGCTGGAGAGCCGCACCGCCGAGGCTAACCTGCTAGCAAACCAGGAGCTGAAACACTGCTTCTCAGCAGGACCCTCGGATTATGAGAATCTGAGTGCCGACTGGGAATGATTTCTATGAGAGAACGGAGTTCGGGGCGCTTTCAGTAACTGGGATCCACGGGCTGGACACAGGCTGTGCCCCCGTCTGGATGTGGCCGGGCTGCTTCCCAGCTCCTCTCACACAGACGTGGCTGTGAGCCCTGAGACACGAGGGCGTGCCAGCTGCTCTGGTGGGAGCGCTCAGAGCCACGAGGGGCCGCCGTCTCCTGCTCCGGACATGGCGGGCCTGTCCCGAGCCCACCTCCAACCTGCGGGCCCCTCGCTCGGAACGGCCACCGCGGGCTCATCCGCCTCCTCCACGGTGACAAGCGTGACTTACATAACTTGGTGCCCAGACAGTCGAGTGACAATGGCAGTGCTTTTAAGTTTTAAAACTATTCGTGTTTAGTAACTGTCTGGTTTGGAGACACCAGAAGTTATAAGAAAAATTCTGGAAGTACTTTCTGGAAACGTGTTAGGAAGGGTTGGCTAATGTGTCCTAGGAAGATTGAGGCACAACCCCAGAGACGAGCACAGTGAAATGCACACGTTAGGTATATTACTGACTCACTCAGACACACGCAGCCCTAACGCTGCACCGCCCAACCAGGCCGTCGCATCTCAGGGCAGCGACGGCCGAAGGAAAGGTGTTGAGAAACGCGGGCGCGCACCTGCACCGCGTACTTGTAGAACTGCTCCGACAGCTCGCCCAGCTCCTCCCGGGTCTGCAGGGCGCTGGGGAACTCCTCCAGCCGGTCCAGCTGCTCCACCTGGGCCACGGGGTACGGCTTCTCCTTCAGCACCTGCACGATCTGGAAGCGGCACAGGCCCGTGACCAGCAGGGTGTAGTGCGGCTTCGGCCAGTTGCTGCCCACGACCTGCACGGCCAGCGCCGCCGTCCCGATCCTGCAACACACACCACACATCCCTTACGCGCCTCCCGCCGGTGGCACGCGGAGGAGGGCACGCGGGGAGCAGGCACCGGCTGCTGCCCTCAGCGCCGGGACCCGGTCTGTGACACTGGTACCGGCGCTACAGGCACAAGCAGTTGACAGCTACGTCGTGTCCGCTCATTTCCCCCGCGTGGCAGGAGGCGGGCTTGCAGTGGAATATTCGCATTTCAAAAGGATTTACATGGAAACAGCAGGCGTGAGCCTGCTCCGAAGCGGGGCCTAGCACAGCTTTCTGCCGACACCGAGCCTCCCGCAGTCTGCGAGCTTCCGCACCCACCTCCACACCGGGCATGGGACGGGGCTCACTGCTCTCGGATCCCGAGCCTCCAAACGCGCGGTGAGCGGCACAGGCCACACTGTGTGGGACGGAGGACAGTCCCAGGCCCACAGACCCGGCCAGAAGGTGGAGACTAACTAGCGGCTGGTCACCCCCCTAATGACAGCTGAACAGCTGGGTTTCACTGAAGCCTTAGCTCCTCATCCAAACACAGTGCAGACCGAGCAGCATCCGAGTGTCATTCACAGAGAGGAAGCGGCACCCAGATGAAGCCCACGGTACACTACACGGAGGGGCCAACACGTTACACTACACGGAAAGGTCAACACGGTACACTACACGGAAAGGTCAACACGTTACACTACACGGAAGGGTCAACACGTTACACTACACGGAAAGGTCAACACGTTACACTATACGGAAGGGTCAACACGTTACACTACACGGAAGGGTCAACACGTTACACTACACGGAAGGGTCAACACGTTACACTACACGGAAAGGTCAACATGTTACACTACACGGAAGGGTCAACACGTTACACTACACGGAAGGGTCAACACGTTACACTACACGGAAGGGCCAACAGTTACACTACACGGAAGGGTCAACACGTTACACTACACGGAAAGGTCAACATTCCAGGGACACTTCCAGGTCCCAAGGGAACTGCCCTTCTCTCTTTGGCCAGGGGAGAGGCTATGCCTTTCAGGAAAGACGGGAAGAGCCTAGGGCTCCCGACGCCTGGGAAACAGCAGCACAAGAGCCCGCCCTTGCCCCTCACACAGCGCAGCACAGACAGCACAGAGCACAGCACAGACAGCACACAGACAGTACACAGACAGCACACAGCACAGCACAGACAGCACACAGCACAGCACAGACAGCACAGACAGCACACAGATAGCACAGACAGCACACAGATAGCACAGACAGCACACAGACAGTACACAGACAGCACACAGACAGTACAGACAGTACAGACAGTACACAGGACAGCACAGAGAGCACACAGCGCAGCAGAGACAGCACAGACAGTACAGACAGTACAGACAGTACACAGGGCAGCACAGACAGTACAGATGGCAGCACAGATAGCACAGACAGTACACAGGACAGCACAGACAGCACACAGGGCAGCACAGACAGTACAGATGGCAGCACAGACAGCACACAGATAGCACAGACAGCAGACAGTACACAGACAGTACACACGGCAGCACAGACAGCACACAGACAGCACACAGACAGCACGGACAGCACACAGACAGCACAGACAGTACACAGACAGCACACAGACAGCACAGACAGCACACAGATAGCACAGACAGTACACAGACAGCACACAGACAGCACAGACAGCACACAGACAGCACAGACAGTACACAGACAGCACACAGACAGCACAGACAGCACAGACAGCACACAGACAGCACACAGATAGCACAGACAGTACACAGACAGCACACAGACAGCACGGACAGCACACAGACAGCACAGACAGTACAGACAGCACATAGACAGCAGACAGCACACAGCACTGCACACAGACAGCACACAGACAGCACAGACAGCACACAGCGCTGCACAGACAGCACACAGACAGCACGGACAACACACAGACAGCACAGACAGCACACAGACAGCACGGACAACACACAGACAGCACAGACAGCACACAGCACAGCGCACATACTGTACACAGACAGCACGGACTACACACAGACAGCACACATCACAGCGCACAGACAGCACACGGACAGCACACGGACAGCACACAGACAGCACGATGATCGTCTCAAGACACTTGTCCGCCTCTGCATGTGGGTTCACTGGGAGCGCTGCTCATAGGTCCCTTGCAGGCTCTTGTGACCCCCGGCTTCCGTCCACTCAGTGTGTCTGAGCTGT